TTAATCGTATCACCCTAACAGACAGAGAGTTATCGCTATGTCTGAAATTGTAGGAAAAAGTTTTAAAAAGGTTTTAAACAACCTTTTATTGAATTGAGCTTGTAAAAAAATTGAAAAGAGCTTGTGCTATATATAACCACTGCTTGTGACAATGCAATTTAAATAAGCACAGTCAAATCAGTTTAAGCATTGATCAGTAGTCTAAGCCTACACAGTTAAATACTGAGCTACAAGCTACCCAAACATCCAGGAACTCTTTCTCTCAAACAATCCAAAAGCCTCTACTTAAATCCACAACAAGCTAATTTGCAATTCGGAAAGAAAAGTTATAGTACAAATCAGAACCATAATAACTGCTTAGTTTAACTCAAGATCCTTACATTACTATTTGGGACAGGTACTAATTATACTCCAATGTTAAAATGACTATGAAACAGATATTCATGTTGAACTAGATACCATCATTAAAGAACTCGAATACAAACAGTATTTTAGAAAAAGTTTAATGTTACAAGTAGAGAAGTCAAGTCCCCATCATGTGTTTCCGCTACACTAGACTGGACGTCGAAAGGGGCATTTTCAGTACCTGCACATTTCCACGAAACCTATGTTGCTACAATTTTCACTAATTAAACAGACTTGAATGGCAAGATGTAATCGATTATCGCTCAGATTGGGATCATATGATTCTTTCAAAGCAGAACTTTTGTCTGATTAGTTGATCTCTATGCAGGACAGAGTTGGGGATGGAATATTTTCCGCAAAGTTTCAAAATATCCTGCATAGCCGGGACATCATTTCCGTAACTACGAGGCTATTTCTTCTAGGAATCCTACTGTTTAAATCAATGCTACCAGAATCTTGTTCCTCAGAAAAGTCACCGCTAGCAGAGACCATTACTAGATGTGATAATCCTCTTTAGGGATTCTACTTATGAGAACAAAAATCAGGCAATCAGTGGCAACCACAGGTAATTCCTCAAAAATAAGGCTACAGAGAATAACAGGATAGCACCAAATTACATCTCCAGTGGACAATTAAATGATTCTATAGACTATTAACTATGAATGATTGAGAAGCTATTGTCTATTGGCGATGAAAAAAATAATGGCTACTGACTATGAAAGAACTATCAATTGACTACTGACTACTTATTAATTATTGACTAGTTTTATAAACTACTGACCGTAAATGAAATATTGACTATTCAATATGTCTAAGAACTATATATTCTAGGACTATATATGTTATATATATTCTCTAGCATCTATAAACAAAGCGCGGAATCTGTGGACTATATAATGTATAATATTTACATACATATAATCAAGACTATTCTTTTGTTAATGTGTAGAGACATTAGGTTATTTGGAAGCAGAAGAGATAAAAAATGAGCAATACCCTTGCCAGGACTCGAACCAAAGACCTCTAAAATATGCGCCGAATGTGCTGACTATTACACCACAAAGGTATGCTAAGAAGGCGGGAGAAATAGCTTATACACTCCCCCCTTTTAAAGGGCGACTGGAGATTAGGTGATACAAATGCCAAATCCTGATGGTGCAGAATCATCACCCACCGCCCTTTTTAATTCGGGCGTCACTGTAGAGTCATTAGGATTTTTTCGAAGCAGAAAAGATGAAAAATGAGCAATGCCCTCACTGGGACTTCAAACACGGGCCTCTCAAATATGCGTCGGGTGTGCTGACCATTACACCACGAAGGCATGCTAAGAAGTTGGGAGAAATATCTTATAAATGTCAATATGTAAATTGTACTCAGCATTAAAAGTGCTAAGAGCACACTTACCTTGACACTACCAAGGATGTCCACTGACATCGAAAAGTCTTTCAGTGCATAGTGGTCCTGGCAGATAGTAGCTAGACCCCTCCTAGGTATTTATTTCAATTTCCATAATAATACGGGAAGGAATTCTGATGAAAGATCAGACCTATGTCATTAGATTAAAAATATGTTTTCATCATTTTATATTGTACTTTGCTGTCTATAATTCGGCATCTATCCATTTGACCTTCAGCTTGGTTTCAATTTCATTCAAATATTTCAAATTAGACACACAAATATCTAGTTTGACGTAGAATTTGAGAGTCAGGCACAATTACTTCTTTAAGCTTAGTTTTAAATTTTACATTTGCAAGTTTTCTGCCAGTGAGAATAAAATTTAGGGGTATAATTCTCAGAAACATTATGAACACAAATGAAGAGAGAGGAACCTAATTAAAATGCCATTTGAACGTGCAACAGACATTAAGTGGTTTCTGAAAGCAGGAGAGTTGAAAAATGAGCAATGCCTTTACCGAGACACGAACCACGCACCTCTCAAACATGCGCCGACTACTACACAACAAAGGCATGCTAAGAAGGCAGGAGAAATACTTTATAAAAGTATCTGTTTATACGTGTCTAGTTACATTAAATTAGTTAAATTCTATTACTTTTTTGAAGAGTATTCTTTCTTCATCATTTGATGATATCAAAACATGCATGGACAAATGTAATCACAATTTAGTTGCACCTACTGTGCCGTATTTTCCACTGAATTTGGCAACAGCTTTAGAAATGTGTTAAAAATATTCTCGTAATTTTCCTTTTTCTCAAAACATACTCAGAGAAAGAGATCTCCTAAATTTTACAACTGAATTAATTCCCATTTTAGGGCCTCATTTCAAATATATGACGTTATGTTCCACATTAGGATTTCCCAACTCTTTCTTGTATCGACCCCTTTTAAAAGAATGGCTTTTTTCATCACCCCCCTTACATTTTTCTTTACAACACATAGTCTACAACATAATTATAACAGAAATAATTGCAGATAAATAACTTCAAGATAATAATTAGACTAAAAATATGAACAAAAGTTTGGAGAAGTGTTTTATTAGATATACGTTTTATTATTTTTTTGTATTATTACTTCCTTGTACAAGGTAAAGAAAATACTGTAATCACGAAAAATTCCAGGTACCATACTTCAATGCAAACATTCTTTTTGACTGCTATCGAATGCAATTAAAATTTTTTTTTACATGACAACTGTATGTAAGGACAGAATACAGGACTCTTTTCCCAAAATGAACTATAAAACTAATTTAAATGGATTCAGAAGAGTTTTTTTTTCATGGCATCTGCACATACATACATATATATCTCTCATAACTCAAAAACAAGTAGCCTCAAAACATGTTTTCATCGTGCTAAATTCATGCATGCTGAAGAGAACCATCATGTTAAAGAATGTGGCTATACTGATACAATGTTTCTTATTTTCAGAAAATTTGTATGTCATAACTTTACTTTTTTTAATTATGTAAGGCTAGATGAAGACTTAAAAGTCTGCGGAAAACTGAGTGTCGATGACATAATAAAAACTATCCCAGAAGATAAAAAAGAAGAGACCTTATCAGATTCAGAAGACAATGCAGAGATTGTTAACCATCTTCAAGGATCAAGTCATAATGGACTTTATAAAAACTATGAAAGCATTTATTCAGATTGAATCTTCCTTTGAAAATGACTTGAAATGTTTATTTCAAATCGAGGAGTTGGCTGAAAAAGTAGGCATAATAAACAAAATCATACATCCATTTTACAATTTTTCAAAAAGTGTAATTCATATTTTTAATTAAAGTTTACTTTCTACTGCATATCTTCTGCTTCATTTTATGATTAAGGTAAGTCTTTATTCATTTTTAATATGTTTAATTTTAGATAGCATATTTTCTACGAGCAATATTATTATACATACCAGGAGATTTTTCTTCTTTAGTGATATACTTTTAAATATTTCATATATTCTGTCAGCATCAAATAATTTAAGCTCTTTTCTGAGAAACTTTGAGTTCGAATTAATGAGTGTCCACTGTATTTATATGTTTCTACCCTTATTTATATTACATTATTTAAATCCTATTGTTAAAGCTATTTTTTCCTCATCATTCAATGATATCGAAGTAGCTGAGGACAAACATGATTACATTAAGCAACACCTACTGTAAATAATTTCAACATAAAAATAAATATATATGAAATATGAACTCACATTAATGAGCATTTTCTTACACATAATAAAGTGTATCAAAGCAATATATAAAGGAATGCTTAAAAAATCATCTCAGCAATGCGTTCAGATTAAACAAATTATTAGTGTCTGCATATTAATTGCAATTCTATCAATGCAAGAAATAGTAAAAGAGTATTTTCATGTTTCAATTTTTAAATGAATCATCATATGAAAAGACTGTCAGCAGTCACATTGCTTATTAAAAATAAATAACATATTCCTAGATCGATTTATACTAAGTCTTTTAACATCAATAATTCAATATATTAATAAAAAAATTACAGTAACAAAATAATAAATACTATAATTAATTAATAAGATAATGACACAAACTACTTTCATATAAAATATTACTTTAATACAATTATTATCTTAAATTATTATTTTTACATATATGAAAAATAAGCTACAAGTAGCACGAGATCTCAGATAATGGAAGGATTAAATCAAATTCTATTCAGCTGTATTAAAAACCTAACATGTGACTATAAAATATTAGGTAACTGGAGGAAATAAGTAACTCATTTGCTAAGTATGCTTATTTTTAATTTTATTATTATATATCCTAAAATACTAAATGACTATGCTAATTCAGACTGAATTTCCCATGCAATAACAAGCTTCAAATGAAATTAAGTAATGACCCTTTTTGGCAGCATAAAATTCTTAGAATCTTCCCTCATCACTTATTAAATAAGGGGAGAGACTAAATCTTGGTCTGCTTAACTGATCCATAATTTATTTCTACCTTACACTACTAATTTTCTGTTTGCTTTACAAACTGTAACTTAATAATCCATGGATACTGACTTGAGGTAACAACTTAATTCATTTCTATAGATATTGGAAATAAGAATGCAGATAAAAAATAATAATGGATTAATTAGAAGTAAGAAAATTAATTCTATTGAACACTTACTTTATTTTCCATTAAATTTGGTTGCAAAAGAGCCAGAGATGATTCTAAGTCACTCTGAAGTTTACTTCTTTTTTTTCTCGTATGTCTTTTTTTGTATATTGTGTTACTGGCAGTCATTAAAGCAACTAAATCTTGTTTATTATCAATAACTTCATCATCAGTTTCATCACAAATTTCAGCTTTTATTTGTACTTCAAATTCATTAACATCTGAACAATGAAATGGCTGATTTTCATTTGATTCTTCATTGTTTGCTACAGGCAAAGTTTCACTTATCTGGCTTGGAGGCAGAGATGTTGCTTGATTAAGTTCTTGATTGTTTATCACAGGCACTGCTGCAGATATCTGCTTTGAAGTCAGACACACAGTTTGATTTTGGAGGAATGCATTGTCCTTTAATGAGGCTACATCAGATATTTTTAAATTGTTTATACAATTAAAATCTGATGTCTCAGGATTGGAATTAGATATGTTCAGTTCAGTTGGTCTAGGTTTTATAGCACGGAATTTATTGATAACATGTTTTTTGGATTTATTTGGCATGATTTTAGACCTCTTAGATTTATCGAAATTTTGAAGAATGGGTGATACTTGCTTTTGAGGTGGACAGGGAAGTGTGCGAGGTAGAATAGGCAAGTACCGCTTTGGCTGTTGTATAAGAGGAGGTTGAACAACAGCAACTACAGGTGAAACACCGTCGCCTGGGTCTATGAATGTCACCATTTGAGTATTAGAAAGATCTGTTGCACAGTAAGGTTTCTATAACAACAACAAAAATAAATGAATAAATAAATTAAAAAAAAATAAAGGCATTTCATCATTTTAAGAATATGATGTTTTTATATACAGATCTAAATATTTATACAGAAGTACTGTTATCTCGTAGCAAAGAAAAACACAGTTACGCCAATAAAAATAATATCACTACCTAAAATGCTATAAAAATTCATTTACTTGAAAAAGAAACATTAGTTATGCCTGAATTCAAAAGTAATTTACACTACAAATCTCTTCTTGGGAGATGAGACAGATATGTTCGGGACCTATATTACATCAAATAAGGCTCAAGGTATTTTAATCCACTATGCATATTAAAAACCTACAACTTAACGTTAGACAGCTTTCCCTGGTTTCCCTTTTTCATCCTGCGAGAACGTTTGCCTAATGGCCTCGCTAAATGAAAATTTAATCTCTATAGGCCGTAGCAAAAAGTTTAGGCTGGGATAATGGTGGTATGCTGCACTGATGGTCGACTCCATGTTGTAACTGGTGTTGCTTGCATTTGTTAAGACTGTATATTATTTACTGCATATAGAACTAAAATACATTTAATATAAATCTATGAAAATTCCAACAACAACACATAACAACACTGAAGGCATAGAGGCAATTATTGAACATTACCGTTCTTATTATATTATATGAGGATCTTGCTGGTGGCAAGAGTCTCTCTAGTCGAGAGTTTAAGAATTCTTCATGCTATCTTAATTTTTTGGTTATATTTTATATTATCCGATTTGTTATAATTGAAATGATATCAGAGGAGTGACAGGATCATTTGTCGGCCAGCTTCCTTGAATTCAAGAGGCTTTGGTGACAGACACTGTGTAGATTGCTAAAATCCCTTGACACTGGTCCGGAAGTTGATTCTTGTAATGTCAAGTGGAGCCGTGTCTGAACAAATAATTGCTTCTGCAATGTCAAAGTCTGTTGTCTCAAACCGTGTAACACTTCAAACACTGCAACCTATGGGGGACTGCACAAATGTATTTCTCATCTTTGTGTGATCCGCTGCAAAGCCAAATTTTGTTCATTAAAAAATATTTTCTAATATACTACTTTCATTATTTTTTAAAGTGTATGAGTACATGTTTAGTAGATATATTTATTTTTTATGCATAACAAGAAAGTTTTCCCCTCTACTGAGTATTTCATAAGATTTTATACAAATTATATAAAGAATGGGGAGACTCAGAAATACAGCTTTACATTTGATCATATCATGTGGTGATGGTAAATGGCTACAGAAAGCAAGAATTGGAAAATCAAGTTTTCAGAATGAAGCATAATATCAACTAGATACAATTTACTGCCTCAAACTGCTCACCATTTCAAATGCTTTTACAATCCTTACTGATGTTGGGTCATTAAAATTAAGCTATCAGTACTATAGTTTACAGTCATTTTCTCTTCCACTCCATAATTGGCAGTAACATAAAAATTCTACATTAAAATCTTCAAATCTCACAGCCTCATGATCAATCTGGTATGCAACTACCCATGTTGCAATTGTAATTTTCTGCTATATGTTAGTGCCATCTTGGCTAAAAATATAAACTTGGGCAGAACTCTTATTTGAAATGGGGGGAGTGAAGTTTAATGTATCACTTATAACATCCATTTACATTAGATATATAACACATTACATTTACTTTAAACAAGCACCAATACTTCTGATTTACCCTGTACATATATTTTGTTTCAAAAATGAAAACTAAATTACCAGCATATAAACTTTAAATACAACTGAATCAATTTACACAACTTTTGCAAGCAAACACCTCAGAGAGATAAACTCGAATTTAACGATCTCAGTTTATTTATATTAAAAATCATCTGTATGCTTATTCTTTAGAAATAATATTGCTGAAGTAATTGTATACAGTGTTATTAATTATTTTCTTTTCATTTTTATAATAATAACAGCCATCACAGGATAATAAAAAAGGTATATATGGTATTTTAAAATAATAAACTAAATAAAGATATCTTTATTTCTAAAATTTATAAAAATGCAGGGATAAATATCGTGTGAAATAAAAAGAAATTGTGCAAGTTTTACCTATATTTACACCATAACTTCTTTTACGTACATGAATAATAGCAATAAAAAATGACATTCTTGCCATATTTGCTCCAATGTATCTTTAGTTATTATCTCCATAGCAACTGTTGTGAGTATTATCATTCCACATACCAATCACCACAATTCATGGAATGAGAGATATGACGAATTGTTAACATTTCTGCTCTTTTGATGTAGCTTCCATGTAACTTCATGTGTGTACATAGTTAATAAATGGCTGAATGTTTTACATATGGGTTTTGATTAAACTGTGTTTTAAGATGTGTCGCACTATCTCTTCATTTTTAGGAGTTCATGGGTGTTTGTGGGACCCCAAAAAATCCCCTGAAACTTTTACGGACTTACTATCGACATTTTGAAGTTTCGAGAAGGGGGGGGGAAGAGAAATGAAAAATTACAATTATGAAGTATTGAATAACCTAATTATAAAAGTTCAATGAATTACTTTTTTTGCAAAATTAATAACCATAAATTTTCAAACATATAAACTACTACATTTTATGTAAATATTTTAAATTACCTGAATTAATTCTTTTAAAAAAAATTATCTAATTTCTGCTGCTTTTTTTTTTTTTATTTTCTGATGTTTGTGGGCTTGCTTGTCTTTCTTTGTGGTGAACTTCATAATTGCAGGAAGGTTGACTTTTATTTTCCTCATTTACAGTTGAAGAAATTTCCTCGAGAACTGCACATGCAGAGGTAGAAGCAGTTTGCTTTTTCTGCTAATGTAGAAGGTTTTTCAGAGACTTTTATAGGTGACTCATCTGAAAATACATGTTTTTAAGTCCTCTTGATATGTTTTCCAACTTCTGTTCATATTCAGTAAGAGATCTTTGTGAATTGGATCAGTCATTGGATTTTTTAGCCATATTTTTCACATGAGGTTTCTTTAGAAGCCATTAAATCATATTTAATAGTCTGCACTGCATCTAGCTCAAATTAGTATCACTGCATCTAGTATCAAATTTGTGCAAAACCTGCTGAATATGGTCATGAAGAATGTTTCTGGATGTTTGAAAATATATATATCTGCATTATATGTATTAGAAACAAAAATACATTTTCTTTCTAAAAAAATTCAAGTCTGAGCAGATCCAAAAGAAATATGGTAACCTTTAAATGCCTCTAGCAAAATCCTGCGTACCAGAAGAAATTTTGATTGTATGGAAAAGAAGAAATTTAAATGAAACAAGTGAATTAATTGTAAGAATGTTCTTTGTAAAAGTTGATGAATTTCCTCATATAAAGTTATAGAAGAATAAATGAGTAACTTTATGTGTTCAGATTTTAATGTTAATTTAATTGGTAAGGGAAGAGTACACAAATTCATTGAATCCTTACTGAAACAACTCTCAGAAGCACATCTAACTATGACAGTTCAAGTAAGTGCAATTTCGGTTGTCATTTTGTGAGAGACTTCATCCTACTAAAGAATGATTTACTATTAGAAATATGAAAATTACATACTTAAAGAAAAATTCTGATGAGAAAATATGTTTACTTTTTATATTTTCGTATTTATCAGTTGGAAAATCCTGTAAAATGAAACATTTGTGTTTCTAATTATAATTCAAAGCTTATAAGTCTTATGCGCTCTAATCATAAAGATAACAATGATAAAAATTACATCAGAAATTTTTGAAAGTAAAGAAAACATATACCCAAAGCATTAGTATTCAATATATTAACTAATAATTGAAAAAGGAAAACTGCTAATGACTTTAACTGAAATAATGCAGAAGCAATTTTAAGATGCATCTTTAATACAGGATCTTAGCATTCCTATGTTAGCTGATTCACAGATATATTTAGCCTAAAGCTACAGCAAGAAAGAAAAAAAAAAAAAATAAATAAATAAATAAATAAATAAATAAAATAAAATAAAATAAATAAATAAATAAATAAAAGTGATAGCTTATTTGGGAGAAGCCAGATTAAGAAAATGAACTTAATTCCTATAATTTGTTGATTTGCTGTCTGAGAGATCAGTCATGTTCCTTACAAGTAAAAGTGTTTGGGGAATGAAAGATTTCATAGCTGAAGACACAAAAATTTTAAATGAATTGAAACAGATAGGAATTTTTTTATCAAATATTAAACTACTAGACACAGAAATTCATTTATTACTAAGAGCAGATGTGATTAGTACCATTCATACAGTGCAGTCTGTGAATCTGAAATGTGGTTTGTGAATCTAAATTGTATTTGCTAAATACTCACTTAAAACACTTTTTGACAAGAATACATAACACTTTTCAAATTGAGAATAGTGATCTGATTTGCAATGTTACAGGAGTGCAAGAGAACAACTCGTCAATTAATGAATTATGGAGCTTAAAAATTATTGGGATTTCATACTCAACAAAATTAGAGTATGCGAGTATGCTGGGGTGTTAGAGAAATATAAAAATAGTTTTTAAAGTCTTTCCAGATGGTAGATATGAATTTTGCTCACCCTTTAAATCGGAAATAAGGGAGTAAGGCATTCTGATAAAGAATTATCTTGGAAGCAACACCAGATAATGTGCTAGCATGTACAAAATAAATTAATTTTGGATGAATACAATATATATTTCAGGAATGAGAGAAACTGGATATTACTGAAAGGGTATTGGATGACACTAAAAGTGATCATTTTTTACTTCATTACCCTCTCATTAAAAGTAATAGCACTACAAGAAAAATTAGACCTATATTTGATTTGTCTGCAATATAGAGTGGAAAATGTTTTTTTAAATGATATTTAATTTATGGGCCTTAATATGAAAGAACTCCCTCCTGTTCGGAAAAAGCATTTTTAAAAAATTTGCTCAAACATTTTCTATGATTTTTTTATCCTTCTGAAAGATTTATCCACAGACATACAGAGTCATGTTGAGCAAATGTTTACTAATAGGTTCAGTTTCACATCTGCTGGATAATGTGTCACTTAAATTTGTGGTGATGGGTCATGGAAGTGATGATGGAATGTGCCTTACCTCCAGCATTGTTGCTTACGAATTGGGTACTCTCAAACCTATCACAAAATGAATAAAAAAATATAATTATGTAGTTTTCTAATCCTCCTACAGATATTGCATCATCAGTTCAGGATTTACTTAAACCAAACCATACTGACCCTTCTACAAAATTCAAAACTTAATTAATAAACCAGTCAGGAGAATTCTCCCAGCAAAAAATCTACCAATTATTTTAAAAAGGAATTAGGCTCTTGAAAACCTTCCGATTGACTTAAGAACATGAAACGCCAAGAGGAAGCCTTAAATGCTCCTGATAACTTAATGTTAGAATTATTCTTTTAAGGTTTGTTTTTGTCCACTTAGCCTATTTTTACTGTGATTTCCAGTTTAGCTGAAGCTACAGAAATTGCAGTGGAATAATCCCTTACTATCTCATCACCACTCATATGAGTTTTGTTTTCAAAAGAATTTCCACAAACTTGCCATAACCCTGTCCTATACATTTTAACTCTGTGCCAACCAATACATCAATGAAAAATAATGCATCTTCTGTTAAATTGTCCTTGCAGCATCAAACTCAGTTCTTGATAGGGACAAAGCCAAAATCATCAACAAAACCAGAATAAAAAGCAACCTTAAATTGAGAGATGCACTATAAATTACCAGTAGCCCGTGCTGAAAGGGAGATTCTTTCTATCATGCATCTGGATGCCAATATACTGCAATCTTACAGAAAGCAACCCTACAGGAAACATCAATAAAAGAAGAGAAATTTGATTCATTCATTTTAGTTCAATCTGAAGAAGCAAATGGATTATCTGTGAATTCTGATAAAGCTCTTAATTTACTATGTTCAAATATGGTTTTAACTTGTCAACCTATAACATTTTATTTTAACTTCATTTCAACTATTGTGCCTTTTAATTTTTTGACAGTCCTTTGAGGGTGGACCATAATGAGTTGACCACATATATTTTCTACACGAAACAGGTGTATATACATCAATGCTTGTAAAATACACATAAAAGTTCCTACTCAAAAATTTAATAAATGTTTCTCATAATTACACTAAAAATGAAAAAATGAAAAATTTACCATCCATTTCGGCAACATATCAGGGGAATATTCTTTGGGAGCAATTACACGCTGGGGATCAAATATTTTAAGAACTCGTGGCACAGGAGGAGCTTCTTTATGTGCAAAACAATACTAAAATTAAAAAAGAAAGAATAATCATTCATAAATATGAAACTGTAATTTGAGACAATAAACTTGCACACAGATTAAAGCAAAAAATGTGAAAATCAGTATTACAAACTTAATAATAAAATATATTGAAACTGTGAAGAAGATTGTATGTTAGGCTCATTTATTTATAGTGCTGAACAATTCTGATAACATTTACATTAAATCAGAAGCTTTATTTTTTTAAACCAGATAACAATTTCATTTGCATCATATTTACTTCTAGAAAGTTATTAAAAATCTCCAATATAAAGCTATTTACACTCTAAAATGTGCACAGATTGTAACTAAACAGATATATGGCTTTCACATTTTGTATAAAAATGGTATTTCAAACTTATCATCAAAGCTCTTGTTAGAATTCCATTTGTATGACAAAATGCACTGTTAGGAGATACAAACATTACTTTAATTACAACTAGAGTAAAGAAAATAAAATTAATTTGCAGAAAACTATCACTTTTGTATCTGAGAAACTCTTTATTTACAATATAAAGCACAAAATCCAGATGTCCAATACCTGGAATGATTTAATATCCAGAGCTAAAGACTACCAGCAAAAACATTTTTTTTAGGAATTTTTTTTACAGAATCTACGAATGAATAATAGTAATAATAATTATAAAACAAACCATAAAAGAAATTTTTTCCTTGACTAACTGAGATCCCTGCAAGTCACTTTCAAACATCTGCTGGTTAGAGAACAACACGATGGCAAATGACAATACATTGACTTATGTTGGCCACAACAATGCATTGGTCCTTAAGTGATTGCAAAGGGGAAGAAATTTTTTTTTTTTTTATCTAACTTAATCAATAAATCCCTTAGATGTGTTTATTTGGAACACGACTCTTCCCCCCCCCCTTCCTTGGCATACAGTGGGTGAACACAGAAAGAATTAGATGCCAAAGAACTTAAATTCAATTAAAACAGCAAACTGTGCTCTTCCTAACTTTCTATTTTGATTTAGATTATTATTTTTTTGCAGGCTATTATTATTACAGCTTTCTTATCAAAATTACTGAATTTCTGGTTATGTCATCAAAAATTTCTAATTTGGCAGCTTTAGCAGGATGCAACTTATTAAACTTAAGAAAGTGTAATATCAAAATTAGATAAAACAACAATCTTAATTTAGTATAAGCTTTGAACACTATAAAAGGTTAAATTTTCCATGTTGATAATGAATAATAAATGAAGGGGATATAACACAAGTTTTCCATTGTGATGGCAATGCTTAAATCAGCAATCAATTAACAAGCTGCAAAATTTGTAATATGGTTTTAATCCTCTGACTGCTCAATTTAAATCTATATATTGGAAATTTGAAAAATGCATTTTTCCTTTCTAGAAAATATATTTTTTATATAGATTTTTATCATAAGAAACTAAGTTGCCAGAAAAAACAATTTCAGATGTTATCACCAAAAAAAAATTTCAGTTCAATTGCAGTTAATTTCTATTTATTGCATAATATACAAAAGTAAAATATATAAAATTCAAGAAAATATAAAGCACTGAGGAATGCAGTTTAATATGATAGAGTTAGAAACAGGGTCCAAGGCAAAGTCCAACTTCACAGTCTTTGCACCAGATTCAATAAATCTAATTTATAATCAATCTAATTATTAATCTAATCAATAAATCTAATTAATAATTCAAAAATTTAATTAAATAATCAAAATAATCGCTGAATGTTTTCTAGCAGCCATTTCTGTAAGAAAAAAGCGGCAAAAAGTGGAGTGTGAGCGTTAATACCCACATGCCTTCAAACGCCGCAATTTAGTGGACAACTAATGACATCTGTTGCCATTAACGTAAACTAAACGTCTAATACTGTACATAATTTATTTCAATGGCTAAATGGGGAAAAAATGGGATGCGCTCCTCAATAACGGAAGAAAAACACATGCCTGCGGGAGCAGATTTTGCTACATTTGAGTTGTCCGTGGAAATCGCGGGATGAGCAGCCAGAGGGTTAAATCCAGAAAATATTGCCACCAATAGTTGGAGAAAGTAACAAGCAGATTTTTTAGGATAAAAGGATTTCAGTTGACAGTTTACTGGGAATTCTTGACCTGGAAGTTACAAGATTTGAATAATTTAACTGAACAAGAAATTATGTCTAACTATAAAATTAAAGAGAAAGTATTACTACCAAAAACAAAACAGGTTAAATAACTTGCACTGAAAAAAGTGTTTAATAAAACAAATAAATGTTGAGCTTTTTTTAAACATAAATTTTGATTCCTTAAGATCATAAATGTTTCATTATTTCATAAACAACTATTTCCTATTTTTAATTTTGCAATTTCTACATGTCATCTTATGAGATTAAACTAATGATCTAAATCCGGAATCATCGAAATCCCAGATTTTGGACTTCGTACTGTATTTATTTTATCAATCACACAGAGTCTTCATTCTTTAAAACATTCACAAAGCTCACATCTAAAAACATAACTGTTTTTAGATGTAAGGATTAACGTGTTGAAAATGATCAATGAAAAGGATAGACAAAAATCTAAGACTTTCAAACTGTTCTTCAACACTAATGGGTCTTTAAACAGAGTGTTACTAAAACGTAGCTGGTAATCATGGATTTTAACACTAGAATTACGGCAAAAGTCATTTTGACCGTATGTCCATTTTAATTGGATATCAAAAATTAATTCTTGACTTTGATATTTTTTGACTTTTTCTAAAAACATACATGAAAATTACATGATTTTTTTTGGTCCATTTTAAATAATTATTTTCGCCAATATTATTATTTATACCTAGAATTACAGCTATCAGTCAAAATGGCTGATAAAATTATACATTTCTCATTATTTTTAAGACTTTTTTTTATCTATTTCTGGTTGGCTGATACATAAACAAGTGTATTCTGTTAAGGAATATTGCATATTTCCCAGAAGTGAGCAGGGAAGGGAAGGGAGGAGGAGGGAATAAAAACACATGCTTGGAATTTTTGTGTGCCACATGTCTGTGCATTACGCTTGTGTTAGAAAGGGTTCTTTTGAGTAAACACAAATGTAGTTTACTTCATTTGGCTAGTTTTGTTGTTCTGACCTGTTGATCATGTCATGTAGAAGCGTTGGTAGAAAAAATCTAATGAAGAATGAGATGCTGAAATTTTTTAGTCTTTCTGATGACAATTCTGCTTCACAAACTGAACCTGATGAAGAATTTCATACCGAAACTACATCCAAATTATACGACGATGACTGGATTGTTCCTACTGAAACAAGTGAATTTGATTTGTCTGATGAAGAATCTGCTCGTAAAACAGAAAAGGAAAGTAAAAATTTAGATAAAAAAAAAATTACATTGCCTTCTACTAGAATAGTTTCCGAAAGTGAAATCAACGGCAGTAGTTGAGCTCGAGAAAGTAGTGAAAGGCAACAAAACAGTTCGAAAGTGAGGAAGATGTATCCAAAGTAAGAAAATTCAAAACGATAAAGCAACAGAGAATGATAGTTTAGTTTGGAAAATAAGAAATGTTCTGATATCATAATGATATGTGTTACAGGAAGATGTCCTCAGCAGAATGTCTTATGAGAAGTAAGAGGAGGTTTGATATATTAAACCTCCAACACCTAAAAATTAAATGTCCAGAAGACATAATTTCGGCTTCTTTACACTTTGCTGTTTCTTTGATAGAATTTAAACTTGTCAATCAAGTTATCAGTACAGAAAGAACTTTTTAAAATTTGTCACTAGTCGAAAAATTTTCTAGCACTTGGCTCAAATAATGATTAAACGTAGCTACTAAGAGAAACAGACTTGTCTATCCTATTAAGACCCTATACTTTCACAGTCAAATAATAAGAACCTGAAAAAAATCATGGTCCTCTTTTTATTTAATGTTAACAAGTTATCAAATTTGTTAACAAGTTCTTTTAATATCTGAAGAAATTGAGATGCAGTATTTTTTAAATAAAGTTAAAATTATGCATATAGGCAAGACTCCAATCAAATTAGGTCCTTTCACTGAGCAATTATTAAGCAAAGGAGAATATTTTGTTCATGCCAAAGCATTAAAAACAAGCTGTATATTTGTTGTTCAGCTTGTTTCTTCAATAACTGGCCCAACTGAGTCGATAATGAGCATCAGTTTCTTATCATTTGCACATTCTATTATACCGTTGCAGTTGCAGAAGCTGAAAACTTCATAGTACTCTTGCTTTTGATTAGAATTAGTCTTAGGGAGACATTTTTCATTTTCCTTTCATCCAATATATTAAAATTACAACTACAGTCAAAAGTCGTTAATTCGGACCTCAAAGCTACAAACCTTCTGCGCATGCGCGTAAGACCTTTACGCCTGCAAATTTGCGTGTGCGCGTGCGCAAAATACGTTTACGAATGCGCGTTTAATGTATAACGGACGGGATAAGCTAAGCCAAAATTATCTAATTATCTATTTCAGTTAATGTTGCAGATTGCGTTGTTCCTTAATCTTTGAATTGGATTCGGCTTATTATTTTTTGCAGACTGTTAGAGCAATTTTATAAAAGTAAGCTTGAACTTTCGATTATTTCAAATAGAATTTCTGATATATATTTACTAATATGTAAAGGATATACACAGCGAAAATATCTTTCGGAGTCCATTAAACAAAAAGTGGAATTGCTGCAAAAAATGGATAAAGGCATATCCTTTGTTTATCTAAACTTTAATGTTTGTTTATCTAAACTTTGTTTATCTTTAACGCCGCGGAGCGCAATGAATTGGAAGTTGATCTGTCAACACTATCCTTATCTTAAGGGCAGATGTTTTTATTTTATTTGGCTTATAATTGCTTACTAAATGTGGTATTTCCTCTCGATGTACTCCGTCTTTGATGTGATTTAAATCAAATGCCTCGTCATTATAATTCGCTTCCGATAGCGAAGAAAGAAAGTGACAGAGGTTATTGAAAACGAAAAAAATTTCGATTGACAAATTAGTCGGTATTCTCGACACAGCAATTATGGGACTTGAACAGCGGAACTTTGTAACTGAACAAGAAATTATGTCAGTTTATGGAATTAAAGAGAATGTATTATCACATAAAAAACGAAGCAGCTTAAACAACTTACATTGAAAGAAATGTTTAATAAAGTAAACAAATAAATATTAAGCTTTTTTTTTTTTTTTTTTTTTTGTAAATTCTGATACCCTTTAGATCATAATTGTTCTTTATTTCGTAAATTATGGTTTCATATTTTTAATTTTATAATTTCTGCATGCCATTTTACCAGATTTAAACTGATGATCTATAATCCAGAATCGCCGAAGTCCCGACGAGTCCGGATTAACGACTTTTGACTGTATATTGTTTATCTTTGCTACTTAATTTTATTCCATAAGAATTGCCGTATTTCCTCATGTATTCCTCCATAGTGGAATATTTGAAATTTATAGTGGTGCTTAAAGGAAGCTACATGTTATGGCAATCCTTCTTGTTTGCTCAGAATGCCCTTTGATGACAGTGAGAAACGCTGCCAATATAATTTGAATGCCTAAGGCATATTATTTTGGCACATAAAATTGTTTATGTGAATGTTCTCATCTGCAAGTATAGTTTAAGGTTATACTTATCTCCATATAATAAAGGGGAAAAAAAAAAAAAAACACGGATTATGAAGCGTCCATTTTTGAAGCCCGAGATTAGAAATTCATCATCCCCCTTAACATTTTACTGCTAATTTCGGAAAATACCGAACCTCTCCATTCTAACTGTTGAACTTTATGCCAGCCTAATATAAGAACTAATAAATCACAGCAAAACTAACATCAACTGACATTCATTCTACGATTCTCTAAGTAGTTGTATACTCCCCTTCTCTAATTATTTAAGGAATGTTCTGAGGCCTAAGGAGTAACATAGACAACAATAAGTCCAAGCGAGATTGAAATGATAGATATGTAGAAATGAAGATATTAGATAATGTAATGTTAATATTACTATATATTCTTATCAGTATCTAGTTTCTTTTAAAGAAATAATACTATGACAGCCATCTGTAGTCTATCCATGATTACTTTTCATTTGTTATGCTCTTACGGTAACTGCATCCTTCCAAAATTAAATTATTTATGCTTCTATTATGGTTCAGATAAACTTCTTTAATTAATTAATTTTCAAATTTGTCTAAACTGAAAGTTGGTTCTAACTCAGCATCAGTACAAGGGAATGTTTTGGTTTTTCCTCTGAACTGTTCTAACAATTGTTCAAGCTCATTAACAGTATCTTCTAATGCACTTTCTATTTTCTTAAATAGTTTTGTAGTGGAAGTTCATCAGACAGCTCTTTTCTTTTTTAAGTTATCTATTTTTTTTCTTCTACCATTTATTTCTGTCTTATTTCAACACATACACAAGCATATATTTTTCAAGAACAACAAATAACTGTCTTCCAATTAGAAAACAAAAATAGTCTTCCACTGAATACTTCTCAAGAACATGAATTAAAACATTTTCAATACCCAGCATTTAAATTCAGATATTCCATATTATTTAATTTCTTTTCTTAAGTTAATGTAAGTTATGCCAAGGGTACTAGAAAATAATATTATGACCATCTAAAGTAATCAAAACCTTTATACTTATGTGCTTCTAAAAGTAGGGCTGATGTGTTTATTTTCCAGTTTGAAGAAAATAGAAGCGTCAATTCGGATAAAATAAACAGAACCATTTTTGACAACAAAAAGAGTACTAAACATTTTAAAGTAAATATAACATAACAAATAACAATTATTGGACAGTTTGAGCAAAAGAAAACAATGGTAACTCTAAAACAATTGCAGTATTAGATTCAAAGGTTTGACTCCAGAACCTTCTTTTTCAGCTGCGAGCGGGAAAATGATGAAAGAGAAGTCTGTACTTATATCAATAAAAACATATTAGAAAGTTCAAAAAGGTTACATCAAAAAATGAAAACACAGCTACTGGTGCCACCTATTGATGAAAAATGAAAATAACCATGAAATAATTTCTTTAAAAGCTGAGGGTAAATTCTGATTGGAATTTGGATCAGTAACTAGAACTGAAAGATTTTTTATGAATCTGAAAGCTTCTAGAAAGTTCGACAATGGAAGATGTTTCTTGAATAATTCTGGTCACAGACAAAAATGATTTTTTGGCCAACAATGTTGGGCAGTTTTCCTCTCTTCCAATTTAAAGGTCTTAAATGTAAAAGCTTTTATGTTGAAATAAAAGACACATAGTTCGTTTTTCCTATATGTTTTTTCTTTGTATTAAATTTCTGAAAAATAAAATGAAATTTGTTGTGACATAGCATTTTGTCACATTGAAATTAATTTTATTTTTCAAACATTTTGTAGCTAACTTATATTCACATACGTGTGATATTTGCAGTAGACTGGCATTGGAAATGATGGCGCTTGGCATCAAAATCCGAACATGGCTGAGTGGCTTACAGCAAAAATGATGACACCGAAAGATTTCATTTTTTAAAACTCCATATCTTTATTCACTTAAAATAGCAGGTCATTATTCCTTTAGATTCTTGAAAAATGTCGCGAACTCTTCATTTATAGTAGCGATTACATAACATGGCAGAATGTTCTCGAAAGTACTGGTCTAGGGAGAAGATCTTGAAATTGAGGAAAGTTAATTAGAGATTGCCTGTTCACGTAGAGCAAAACCCTCATATTTTTTATATTTTACATATATACACATAAATATAAATACTTGCTACTTAAAAAATTACAGATGTCCACTTTCGTTATTTCCGACATATATATTTATGTTCAGTACTCAAACATACAATCCCAGTTATAAACTTAAATTCATATACATTTGTGTGCGTGTACATATATACATAAAACTATAAAACTTTTAACTCTATAACCCTTATTTTAAAGGTTGGACTCATCAAAGGGACTTTGCTCTCCTTCCCATGTTTTGAACTTTAACTCTGCTATCATTCGCTGTAAACCAAAAGACAACTAACTATGCAATAACTCTACAGCCACTATGGCATTATGATGTGTGTAATCCACTCCATTTGTAACCTTATGTTCTTTGTAATTGTTTAATGTTACATTTCTAAAGTAAATATTTTCAAGCCACTAGCTGAGTCATTATTATGGGAGGAAGTTTTCTTTCATGTCACATTTAGCATTATTTCAACATTTAACTTTACAGAAAAACACAACATAAATTATATTAGCCTAAGTAAAACTGTGCATTAATGAATACACAATATCAATCACAATAAGGAAAATGAATTAATTTTTCAAACATATAATTTTGAAAACAACCAACTAGAATCAACAGCAAATGTTTACAATAAAAATATTTTTTTTTGCATTAACTGGATAGAATGATTACATCATAAATTAAATTATGTTCCAACTTAGCACAGAAGTAGAAAATGCAATAAATTAGCTTGGTATTTCTAGTACAAAACTTTAAGAACTTAACTGAGATATTTTTTTCTTCTTGAGAACATCTTGAGAAAAAGGAAATTCAAACCTTTATTGGATTATCCAGGCTTTCTCTACTTTTGCAGTTTTTAATCCTGATTTTTAGCTGATTTTCTGTTTTAGAAGGAAGTAAAAGTGTTCTGATATAATAAATTGGATTTTCTATAGAAGAAAACTGCTCCAAACCTAATGCAATAAGGCTGTTTTGGGGAAAAAGACAGATATGAGTAACACAAATAAGGAAATAAAATTATACAACTATTTAAATTGAGCCACTTTTCTGGACAATTTTTAACACATGCTCTCTTTAATCTGATATAACTTGCATTTACTCTGTCAGTTTGTACAATTTATAGTGTAAACAGGGTTCATAGCCACATTTTAGTTAAAAAAATAAGCACCTATAAAGCACTTTTCAAGCACATTTTAAGGAAAAAAAAAAAAAAAAAAAAAAAACCTGTCTAATTACATCATACTGCATAACCTTAAAGGAAAATTAGACTTGTAATTTAAAATATGAGAAATTCAGTATTAAAGAGAGAATAAGCATTATTCACCTGGGAAAACTTTTTTTTTTTTTTTTTTTTTTTTTTTTTAAAAGTAACAGTTCAATTTACAGAACTAGTTTACAATGAGAGAAAAAAAATATAACTATGCAGAACTAAATTATATTACGAGATTTAATGATGAAATTTCAGTTCAAAATAGAGAAAATAAATAATAATAACCCATATTTATTATATGAAATCAGAAGACGGCAAATTGCTTCATGCAGTCATCTTTTAACAGTAAAAGCTTAACTAACTGGCATACTCGGAAATTGCCCAAATATCTGAAATTCCGGATAGTGGAGTGTAACTGGTAAAAGTGAAAGTGGGGGTAGATTGTAGCCATTCTTTAGATTTTGCAGCTAAATAATGCTTTTGACATTCCGATATGTTCATCATGTAAAAAATAGCCCAATGGAACTGAAAAATAATCTGCTTAGCAAGCACAGTAAAACTCTTTTATCTCTGGGAAATATAGCAAATGTTATTGCGCAATATGTGCGCCTTAATTCCTCCTGACGTGATATTACGCAATCAGAATCAACAGGTGCCGGAATTCAGAGAACAAATAATTTAAATAAAGGAAAACGTCCCTTTGCTTCATCCGGTTTTCACTGTCAGGTGCTCATGTAGCATATTTATCATTGAACAGGACACATCGCGCTATATCCCTGCCATAGTCGTATTGATTAATAAAGAGATTTACCAATCTGGGATGTTTTTCATTCTAATTTTGAACAGACTGCGTTAAATTTCCGGAATAGAATCATTCTTTGCTTGGGTTGGTAGACCGCAGAACTTTTAATCCTATTCAATCCAGATAGAAAGTGACCCCACCCCAAAAAAAGTCCGTTGCTTGCTTTGCTGCGAACTGTAATTCTTTCAATATTCGAGATTTTGCGAAGAAAGGGGAGAACCTCCAACTTCCGTACTGTATAATGCATTGGCCAAAAAAATTTTAAAAAAGACTATTCGATTACTTTATTTATGCCATTCCGAATATTATTCCTTAGAAAACTAATCTGTGTTAAAACACACCCATTTTTGAAGTTTATCTATACTTCAGTTACTGCAAATATATTATTATAAATATTCATACATATGCTCATAATATAAGCTGATCATAATAAACGCGAATATGAACTGATCACGCAGAATGAGAATGTAAATTATTAAAATCTTGATAGAACTTCAAACATGAGTCGTATTTTGTGAGAGCAAAAGAATACGGAATGCACTGGAATTTCCTACTGCTTTCGCAATTCTTTGACCAATAAAACGACGTGCACCTGTCTATACTCGCACGCACCAAAGGCAAAGAATATACAGAGTGTTTCACAGATCATGGAACAAACTTGGAGGGGTGGTGGAGCGTACTAAAATGTGCATTTTTTTATAGGAATGTAAGGTCTAAAGTAACGGGTTAAGGGAGGAACGCACAAAAAAAGACACGAGAGAGAAATGTGTTTATGTACAAAATCAATCTATATTGTTCATACATAGACATTGTTGAATACATAGACGTTCTTTGCCAAAGGTTATGTTAATGCAGAGAAAGGGGCGGAAAGCTATTTCAGGGAATATGATTCACCATCTGACGTTCCATATAAGTAAGAAAAGTTGTTTATTTAGTTTCCGCTTTGGTACGGAGAAAAAAATGTGCCTTCGTTAAAAAAAAAAAAAAGCACTGGAAACAAAAAGTACTTTAGAGTAAGCACCTATAAGGGCTTTTATATTTTATTTTCAAATATAAGGACTTAAAAGCACTTGTAAGGACCGCAACGAACTCTGGTAAAGTTAAATGAAATTCGGATGCCCTGCCAAAAGAGAAATATAGTCTCATCTGGTTCTTAACAGCAAGAGACATGTAAAATGCAAATATTCATCCCCAAATATCTTAAGTGTATGGTGACAATGCAACAAGAGAGAGTAAAATGTGAAAAGGTATGAAACTTCAAGCAAAATGTTCATGATAATTCACACTTTGGTAGACCAACTGTAATCACTGATGATTTGGTGATTCAAATTTTTTAATACAGGAGATTTATACAAGGGCGAGTCAAATGAAAGTGAGCCAATGCGAATATATGACAAACAGAGTACTTTATTTAAAGGTAGTCTCCATGAACATTGAGACATTTATCCCAGTGACAAATGAGCCGCGTGATCCGCGTCTCATAAAACTCCTTGGGCTGTCGATTCAAAAAGTCTGTAACCGACTCCTTCACGGCGGCGTCCGACACGAATCTGGTACCCTTGAGATGTTTTTTCAGTTTCCCGAAAATGTGAAAGTCGCATGGCGACAAATCTGGTTGTATGGAGGATGTTGCAGCGTGTCCCACATGAACTTTGCCAGTTGTGTCTTAACCACATCAGCGACGTGGGGACGAGCATTTTCATGTAGCAAGATCACACCATTCGTCAATCTTCCAGGTCGTTTGTTCTTGATTGCAACACGCAGCCGATCCAGCGTTGCACAATATCGCGAACTATTGATAGTCTCTCCACGTTTAGCAAATTCAATCAGTAATGGCCCCTGACGATCGAAAAAAAAAGTCAATAGCACCTTTCCCGAGGAAATGACAGCCTTTGCTTTCTTCGGGGGTGGTGAATTCAAATGTTTCCACTGTAAGCTTTGCCGGTGTGTTTCAGGTTCGTAGTGGTGGCACCATGATTCGTCTCCGGTCACAATGGCAGACAAGAAGTCATCACCCTCATTGTGATACCGGATGAGATGAGTCAAAGCAGCGCCGAACCTCTCCGTCTTCTGGCGGTCGTTCAAAATCTTGGGCATCCATTGAGCACACAAAAGCCGATAACCGAGATGATCATGAATTATGGTGTGAACCGAACAGTGACTGATGTTCACACGCTCTGCCAGTTCATCGATGCTTATCCTCCGTTCTAGTCTAATCAGCTCATCAACCTGTGCAATTGTGTCGGGGGTGATTGCAAGGTGGCTTTGGCCCGGTCTTTGGATCCTCTTTGCAACTTTCACGTCCTTCTCTGAACCGTTTGCTTCAACGCTTCACAGTGGCCAATGCGATGCAATGTTCACCGTACACAGCAGTCATATGGCGACTAATTTCATGTTGGGAAACACCTACAGCTGTCAAAAACCTGACTACACCATGCTGTTCCTCTTTTGGAGCGTCCATTATGTAATCTTCAACCCAGGTAAGAGCGCCTTATAGAACTTTAACCTCACACTTTCGCGCCACTTTGGTAAATGAAGGCTGTCTCTGTGCTACGCGCATGCGCCGCAGATGATGGACCGAACCATTCTTGCTGAGGAGGGGTTGGCTCACTTTCATTTGACTCGCCCTTATAATTTAAGATGTCATCAAAATTGTTACAAACTCTAAGACAGTTTTATTTAAAATTGTACCATAGCAGCTACAATTCAAGAAGTTGTACTGTTGATGGCCTCCTAAATTACTAAGTAAAGAATACAAAAATACTGGTACATGTTTTAACATTTTTTATCCTCTACAACATGGAGCGTGATGACTTCTAGAGTTATAACATCACAGAAACATAAATGTTTCACGACTCCTGATTCGAATAAACAATCAGTGGTGTGGTAACACACATCACTGCAGTCAGACTGAGAGCAAAACAGACACTTTCAAGTTGGAAGATCATGACAATTGTGTTGGGACAAGCAGGGAATTTTATTAATGGACTTCTTGTTGCAAGGAACAACAATTAACTTAGCTTCCTGTTGTTAGACCCTAAGAAAAGTTCGTTGAGCAGTCCAAAACAAGCAACATAGAATGATGTCATACAGTATTCTGTTTCAGCTTTATGACCATACAATTCCACATGCTGCAGCTTGAAATCAAGATTTGGTCAACTTTTCTGGCTCACAGGTATTCAATCATCTGAAATACAGTCTAGACCTTCCAACTAATAATTACCACCTCTTTCCCCATCAGATGATTTTCTAGGTAGTATGGTAGAACATTCTCATTGCAGAGAAAGGCAACATCTATTTCTATTATGCAATGTGCATGTGTGCTCATCATAGCACGAGAACAAAAACTTGAGCTTTTTCATCGAGAGACTCATTTCTAGCATAATACTATACTGATTAAAAAAAAAAACTAATCTAAAAATTTTTTAAGAAATCTGCTGCACTCAGGGTTGCCACTCAAACAGGAGAATGAAATTCCCTGACTTTTCCAGGTGTGTTTCAAGAAAATTCCAGTCTATCTGCGTAATGTACGTTGGCTGTGCTAAGAGGTAAATTAATTATGGTATTACTTGTATTGTGTAGCAAATTCACTTAATTATTCAATAAATCCCAGACGACATATATTCTTAATTATTCTTGGTATACTTTGTTTAATAATTTTGTTTAGTTTTCCACTTAAGAAACTTAATAAAATTTAAGATATATATATTGGATAACAAATGTATGTTTTATTTAATTATTACTCATGATCATCACCAGTTCAACACGAGGCTAATCCGGTCCTTATAAATCACAACGCAATGCTAAATAGTTAGGTTAAATTTTAGGTAAATTTAATTTGCGTGAGGTATGTTCTTAAAACCTTAACACTTGAAAACACAAATATAATTATAATAGTTGTTATTTTCTCCACTGAAGATTGAGATTAGAATCTTCCCAATCTGGAATAAAATAAGGCTTTCTTTGCAGACATTCTGCAGCTAAACGAAAGAAAGAAATCTATTTTAATAAATTGAGGTATTTTATTATTATTTTGCAGCATACATAAGGAAAAAAAAAATATGTGCATTAAATTTCGTGATGGTATGTCATCATACTGCTATAATTAATTTCAGGATTATGCCAGAGAAAATTTCCTGAAATTTGGAAATATTATTTACTAATAATAAATAAATTTAGAGGAAAGAAGCAACATTAAATTATATGAATAAACTTAAAAATAATTACTTAAAAATTGAATTAGAATAATCATCTATATTTTAGTGAATATAGTTATATTACATGGCTCTAGATGACTGATTACTATTTTTTTATTTTACTGCAAAATGGCAAGGTATTTATTAAAAAGAAAAAAAAAAGGGTTAAAAAAGATTTTGCGGTAAAATTCTAGTATACGGTAAGCCTTTGGCACGATTTTGAAAATTGTCGCCAAGACCAAAATGACCCGTTTACTGCGCATCAAGACGTCGCCAAATCCCATTATTATTCTAACCAAAGAACGTCTATGTAAAGAAGAAAAGGTTCCATACAAGTAAAATGCTATTACGTCGCTAGAATGCGGAGGGAAAATTTGCCAAGGGATTTGGCGACGGAACCTGGCGGTCAGAATTTCCCTCTCCGCGATGTGTACAGGAAATTGAGAAACACGTGTTAAGAAGAAACGCTCTTTGACAAAAAGAAAACTACGAAAATCCGTTTTTAAATTATTGCGAAAAATCCAAGAAGAAACGTTTTATCAAAGGACGTTTCATATTTTTCGCAATAATTTTAAAAACGGATTTTCGTAGTTTTTTTTTCCTCTGAAAATAACTAATCCATGAATTAATTTACTTGCGCCAAAAAATATTTTTCTTTCCTTTAGAGTTTAACCACTTGCGCTAAGACTAAACTTCACGGTTGCGGTGCCGTGCGCTACAATATAACAAGCGGTAAAGTGTCTCATTTACGCCGCTCCGCATCTGCGAGTGCAATCCAGAGCTGTAACTCGAGAAATAAACAATCTCGTTGTTAGGCGACATGTGCACCACGTTATTTTCATTTTTGCGATAAATGCTTATTGACGTGGTGTTCACGTCGCTCGCGGTTTGAGACAAAAGCATCTTGACGTCTTTTTAGCTTTTTTTAAAAGACGTGGCACGTCTTTTTAGCGCAAGTGGTTAAAGAAATTTTAAACGATATTCATTTTATGAACTCTTGATAACGTGACCTTCGAACTTCGACACCGGTTTCGAGCTTTGGTGACAGATATATCAGACATGCACAGCTGTTTCCCTCTATGATGGAACGGAGCCACAGCCACGTCTGTTGCAGAGAGGTTTTCCTTCTTTACAATACATATCTTTGATTCTAACCTCCATAGTACCGTATACTAGGATTAAACCCATTTTGTTTTATACGAGAACAGGTACTTTCTTTAGTTCATGCACTGCACATGCGATTCTCGAGAATACTGGAAACCAAAAGTTGCGGGAAAGTTGCTTTGCCTTTCTAAAAGACAATCAAATTGGAGCTGCGAAAATTGGCTCTATGCCAGCTACCCGAATGACACTCACGTGATACATAATTCGCCAAAAAAGTTACCTCTTCTGACGTCGGCGCAAAAATCGCTTTTTTTGGCGGGATCGTTGTATGAACTTCCCTGACTTTTCCAGATTTTGACAAAAATACTTAAATTCCCTGACTTTTCCCTGAATATTTTGGTCAATTTTCGAATTCCCTGACTTTTCCCGGTTCTCCCGGTTTTCCAGGTAGCGTGGCAACCCTGTGCACTCATCAATCACAAAAACAAAATTAAAATTCTCATTTGCCATAATAACTAATTTCCTGATCTAATTTGTAGCATGCTTTAGCCAAAAAATTTTGAATGTTTTGGCATGACCACACAGAAGTACAAATAAATTAGCTACTTATAGCAATCTTCCCTACTGATAGCTGATTTATTTATTTAGCTGATATCTACAATCACATAGAATGATGGCTGTTTACAGTTAGCACCTTAAGCAAATTAACAAAGCGATTACAATTCTTACACTAATAGTTCTACCATGAAAATCAATGATAATTAAAAATTAGTTTATGAATAAAAAAATATGCACACACTTGAGAAAAATATAGCAACTTACTGATCCTCTGCAGGTGTAAAATTTGGTTTTCTTTTATCTAAATGTCTTCTAAAACTACATACAGGTAGTAACTCAGGATACATAAAAACTTTGCTGTTTAGAATAGTTTTTTGTACGTCAGGTGAGAGTAGACCTTCAAAAGAAAGGGGGGAAAAGGTCAAGTGCTAAGAGATATTACCAGTCATATGCATAGTTAATTATCAGTTCAATACCTCGCCAAAATGTCTCAAAACCCCATGACTGATGAAACTGAAATTATACCAGTAAATATCACATTAACTAAATGGGTACAGAAAGACACTGGCAATAAAAATTTTTACTGTTTGTTTTTAAGCTGAAGTTCAAACCTTGCAGATGAAGTACCATCAACATGAATGTCAAACGCTTTGACATAAAACATTTATTTTTGTGAATTTCAAATCACTGTATATATTTTGCTACAAAATAATCATCTATACCATAAGTGACCTGTCACTACAAAAATATCAAATATATCTACAAAATATAAGTTTTATATACATAAGTTAATATCTACAAACTATAAGTTAAAATTTAGGGATATTCAAGCCACGACTATATGCTTACATTATTTTAAAAGAAACAAAGCATTTTTTAGTAGAAAGAAATATTTGAATTAAATGGATTTTCATATATATGGTATTTAATATGATAAGATGGTATTTTATGAGCATAAATAGGCAAGTACATAAATACTATTATTTTCGCTTTGTATTCAGAATACAAAGCAAAGTCCGAGATCCAGACCTCAAAGGCAGTAACAACCTTCTCCCTTTTATTTTTCTTCTTTTCCCGTATGCTTTATGCATGTGCATTTGATTTCCCACCCACCCCAATAAAACATGCGAAGAGTCCCAATTCTGTTTCACTTTCGTGCTAAATAAAATACCTTATTATTGAAGAAACAATCATTTTAAAATAAATTTGTGTGATCAACAATTTTACTCCACAGCTGCTTATTTTCTTGGCATACATCTTAAACCAAAACATTCGACATAGATACATTGTTGATTTTATACCTACTAATATTTTATATCCCTGACACAAACCTGGCAAATGATTATTTATTATACAGGATGAGCCAAAAGTTTGTTAAAACTTTCAAAATTCATGAAAAAGAAAGAAACTATGATAAAGAAGTGAATTTTGGAAGAAAGGACTCACAAGGAAGTCAGATTTGTTTAGCAGCAAAAAAAAAAGGGGGGAAAAAGTTAAAAATGTCACTTGTAGAGGGCGTTGACACAGATTCAGCAGAATTATGCAAATTAACCCTCTGACTACTTCAATTTGTGGACCGAAATCGCTTTAAAAATTGTGTATCCCCCCCTCATATTTTAAATCCATATATACTGGAGAATTGAAAAATGCACTTTTTCTTTCTAGAAAAAAATTTTTATATAGATTTTTATCATGAGAAACTAAGTTGCCCAAAAAAAAAAACAATTTCAAATGTTATCACAAAAAAAAAAAAAAAAAAAAAAAAAAAAAAAAAAAAAAAAAAACTTTTTTTAAAATAAATTTTAGTTGAATTACAGTTAATTCCTATTTATTGGATAATATAAAAAGTAAAATGTATAAAATTTAAGACAATACAAAGCGCTGAGGGAAAAATACCTTAGAAATGCAGTTTAGTATGATAAGAGTTCAAAAAAGGGTTCAAGGCAAAGTCCAACTTCACAGTCTTTGCACCAGATTCAATAAATCTAATTAATAATCAATCTAATCAATAACTCTTATTAATAATTCAAAAATTTAATTAAATAAACAAGATAATTGTTGGACATTTTCTAGCAGCCTTTTCTGTAAGAAAAAAGCGGCAAAAAGTGAAGTTTGAGAGCTAGTACCACGTGCCTTCAAATGCCACAATTTAGTGGACTACTAACGCTATATGTTGGCCAAAACATAAACTAAACGCCTAATACTGTATATAATTTATTTCAATGGTTAAACGGGATGCGCTCCTCAATAAAGGAAGAAAAATATATGCTCGCGGAAATCGTGGGATGAGCAAATTTTACTACATTTGAGTTGCCTGTGGAAATCGTGGGATGATCAGCCAAAGGGTTATTCTTGCAATATATTAAGAAAAAAAAAAAAAAAAGTGATACACATAGTTTTTTCTTTTGCTTTCAGCATGTTATCATTATCCAAGCGAGCATTGTTGGTGAAGTTGTCCTATTTGAACAGAGAGTCAGCAACTGTTGTGTTGTGAAAGTTTTGCATGGTAAAAGGACTGAAGACAAAGAATTGTCCCATATCATGCTCTGGAATACTGAAACTTGTCAAACAGTTTGAATAAATTGGCTGTTTGCAGGATCGACCCCGAAGTGAAAAATCCTCGTTGCCGAAAGGCCGAATTACTGCTGTAAATCCACCATGAATGATGTAGTGGAGCAATCATCCAGGGGAAGTAACAGTGCTCGCATAGCTAGAAGGATACTGGATGTGCCTCACTCATCGATTTGAAGTATCCTTCACAGGATATTGCATCTCAAACCCTATTAATTGCGATCGCTGCATGAGTAATAGCCGGTAGACACAGCTATGATCCATTTGCCGAGTGGGCTATGGCAAGACTGATAGCAACCCTCAGTGGTTGTTCAACATTATCTAGATGGATGAGGCATACTCCACCCTACATGGTAATGCCAACACCCAAAACACTCGTATATGGGTGACATAGAATCCTCATGAATACACGATGAAATCACTGCAGCCAGCAAAGTTAACAGTCTATAGGCTTCACCTCATCTTTCACTGCCGGACGATTCTTCATTGAAGAATTGTGTCCCATAACTGGCTGGAAAACGTGCACAGTACCTGCTTAGCATTATTTCACACTTCTGCATGAAAAAGTCATGTCCACATTAAATCAAAGAGGTTTGTTATCTGTAATAAACTTTATGCAGTATGGTCCACCACCACATTATGCCAATCCAGTAAAACGATTCCTATTGAATATTTTTGGTGAAGACAGAGTGATCAGACGAGGTGGCAAAATCGCATGGCTTCCATGATCACTAACCTCACTCTGGTTGACTTCTGGTTATGGGGCTATTTGAAATCACTTGTGTACCATTCATCCCCTTCAACATCGGCCAAAGATTCTATATGTCGTAAGGTTTTTGCAATTCATTCCGACATACTGCATTCAGCTGTAATAGGCATTGTTAGTGAAAGAATAAATAAATGGAGCGTACTGTTGTTCATTGTGTTTCCATTCATCACTGCCCTCTACCGGTGACATTTGAAACTAAACATTTTTTTTTGCTGCTTAAAAAAAAAATCAGATTTCCTTGTGAGTCCTTTCTTGTAAACCAAACTTCTTTATCATAATTTCTTCCTTTTTTATGAACTTTTGGCTCCCACGTTATTTTGCTTTCATCACGGCTTGTTTATCAACACATGAAAATGACTCATGCAGCAATGCCTAAAAAGTTTTTTTTTAAATATTAGTAATTAAATGGCAAAGAGTATGGTAACATTTTATATTGACATTACACTTGGCAATGAATGCCCACTTAAGTTAAAATGCACTAAGAAATGTTGATGAGGAAAAATTTAACAAAAACTTCTTTCAGTATGCTAAAAATAGATTTTGCTAATGATACTCATAGGCCATACTATTAAAATTAGTGCTATTTGAATTAAAAATAACTGATTTGTTATTACCATAAACCCAGAACCAAAGCCAGCTTGTAGAGCAGCACCAGGTGGCAAAATATTGGAAAGACAAAATTTCTGGAATTTAGAGAAGCAGCGAGCAACAAAATTAAGGGATAACAAAATTTTTAGAATTTAGGGAAATCACTGGGACCCAAAATTTGAGAGGCAGCTAAGGTGGTAAGATATGTAGCACAGGCTCTCGTTAAGCTTAAGTATGTGTGGGAATTTATTTATTCAGAACTCGGATAAGCCTTAAGCATGTTCAAGAAATAGAAATAAGTATAATAAAAGTAACTAATACAATTCAGGCTTAATAGCCTCAGTGCGCAACAGAAGCAAGAACACATTTAGCGGAACAACATGTCTTTCGTTGCCAGACTCATGCTACATAGTCAATAATGCACAGCAGACGATATTAAGCTAGGCTAAAATTATAATTTACCTAAAATCATAATTTCAGTTAATATAGCAGAGTGTGCTGTTCTTTTAAGTTTCTGACTTGATATAGCTTATTATCTTTTGCAGGCTGTTATTATTACAGAAATTTTATGAAAATTAAAGTTTGAACTTTCAATTATGATGAAAATAATTTCTAATTCTGGAGCCGGCAACAGGATCTACAAAATGAAAGCATGTTTCAATGTCCATTAAACAAAAAGTGCAAATGCTGCAAAAAATTTATACGGATTTATCTGTCTCAAAATTATGTTAGGAGTATGGCATTGGAAAGTCATTTTATATATAACATAAGCAAACAGAAAAAGAAATTTTCGATGTTTTTTTGGTCGATTTGGACATGCCAATCACAATAAATAACAAAAAAATTATTTGTTATGCTAAAAATGACAATCACAACAATGTGATGATTGAATGGGTCAGACAGCATCGCAGCGAGAGCATGCAATAGATGAGTCCAATGTTAATGGCTCAAGCCAAAATATTTCATGAAGAAATGAACTTAGAAACTAAGTGCAGATATTCTACAGGTTGGATAACCAAATTTAAAAATCACCATGGTATAAGGCAATCAAAAATTTTAGGTGAAAAGGTTTCAACTGATATTGAAGCTGTTCAGCTATTTGCAGATGAATTAACTGAACTCATTAATAGTGAAAAGTTACCTCCAGAACAAACTGACAACGCCAATGGAACTAGTCTTTTCTGGCAATATGTATCACAAAATACCTTGCCAACCTCTACAGAAAAGGCTCCAGCTGGTGTCAAAGATTCCAAAGCAAAACTAACAATTTTTCATGTGCAAATGCTGCAGAAATGCATAAGTGGCTAAAATTATCTTTACTGATTCTAAAGAATTTCAGTTAACATAGCAGACTGTGCTGCTCCTTAATCTTCTAATTTGATCCAGCTTATTATTTTTTTGCAGACTGTTATTATTACAGAGTTTCTAATTCTGGAGCTGCAAAAGGATCTACAAAGTAAAAGTATGTT